TTGTGTATCTACCAATGGAGAAGTTGAGTGTCCAAGGGAAGGAGCTGAAAGAGGAGGTATATGATGAAGGATTTGACAAACCGGACAACGAGGAAGGCGATCAGGGAAATTCCAAATGAGCCTAGGTAAACAACAGCGAAGTTTTTCTCTTGAAACACTATGCACACGACCTAGATTCCTATTATTCTGCCAGCAGTCGAACTGGAAGCTTTCTCGTTGCAGCCTCATAGATTTTCGGCCCCCATCTTATCAATCCCATGATTTTAAATCGAAGCAGCGCATAACTACATACCAAACCTATGAGTAACGATCGACATCGTGGAAGTGCTTGGTAATGTTCATCTGTATTCCATTAATTAATCAGCTATTTACTCAGTCCATAAGGTATATAAGCTCACTAACACTTGCTATCTTTTTCAACTGCCATGTTCGCTTCTCGCTTCAAAGACTATCACAATCCCTCTTGCCCACTACTCATCCCAGAGATTTCTTTTTCTTACCATGGACGCTCCAATCCGTCGCATTATCGCAGGCCACGATGCCCGGGGAAAGGCGTATTTCTCTTCCGACGAAATTCTGACGCCATACGATCCCACATCTGCTCCGGCATTCTCAACCCCGGGGCCTGACTCTGGGTTCGGGGTTATCCAAATTCATCGGTCGCGCGGCTTCCCAGTGGACAATATGCGCGAGCTCTCTGATCCGCATAAAACCCTTGTCCCACTGGCTGACACCAAGGGTCCTTCCTGTCGCATCCTTGATCTACCCCCGGCAGACGCAGGCTGGTTCCATCGGACACTGAGCTTGGATTACGCTGTGGTGTTGTCAGGTACCGTCGGATTTATCACAGACGGAGGCGAAGAGAAGATCCTAAATCAACACGATGTCATTGTCTGCCGCGGTGCAAACCACGAATGGGTAAATCGAGGCAAGGATGTTGCTCGGGTTTTTGTGGTGGTTATTCCTAGCAAGGAGATTGTGACTGAGGATGGAAAGAGGCTAGAGAAGACACCTGCGGGCGACATTTATGATCCCAAGGAAGAGGAAGATTGAGCTATGAGAGTGGATTTGGATCCGAGAGCTCGGAACACGGAATGAAACTTCCGACGGAATTAATTCCAGGCCTCCCCGCGCCTTTTCTTCCATGTTTGCTTTTCCCACATTTGCCTTGGAACATTCGCTGTGGCCTCAATATCACATATTCTACTTGTACTTTCATTCTACATCTTTCTCCCCATACTGTGTTCTACTGTGCCGCCAATTGCCGCATTTACAGCTCTAGATACCCCGCGTCGCAGATCTAGTTGACGCGCAGCATGGATCACGATCAGTTCAAGGCCGCAGCACACTCTGCCATTGATGATAGTACGAGCCGTCCTAAATTTGTGCAATCTTCGGGCTCGATAATGTTAAATCTAACCGAGCTTTTGTGCAGTCATCAAATACTTCGACAGCGTACCTGAGCTCCGAGTCCTGCCCGCCGTCGAGCCCGGATACCTTCGCCCTCTGATCCCAGAGAACCCTCCTGACGAGCCAGAGGACTGGGCACAAATCCAGAAAGATGTTGACACCAAGATCAAACCCGGCTTGACCCATTGGCAGTCTCCCAATTTCATGGCATACTTCCCCGCCTGCGTGACATACCCCAGCATTCTGGGTGAGATGTACTCTGCCACATTCACCGCCCCTGCGTTCAACTGGTTGTGCTCGCCAGCATGTACGGAGATGGAGACAATTGTCATGGACTGGGTCGCGAAAGCTCTGGCACTACCCGAGTGTTTCAGAAGTACATCGGAGACCCACGGCGGCGGTGTGATCCAAAACAGTGCGAGTGATGCTATTGCGACTATTATTGTCGCCGCACGGGAGAGGCGTGTGCGAGAGCTTGTTCTTGCAGAGGGCCTGAGGGAGGGTACACCAGAGTACGAGGACCGTAAATTCGATGTCCAAGCTAAGCTGGTCGCCATTGCCAGTGATCAAACCCACAGCAGCGCTGCTAAGGGTGCTTTGATTGCGGGCACTCGCTTCCGCAGCGTGCCCACGCGGCTGGAGGATAACATGGAAATGACCGGACCTCGTCTCCGTGAGCTTCTTGAGAAGTGTGATAAGGACGGGCTTATCCCGTACCACCTCACTATGACCCTTGGCACAACAAACACCTGCAGCGTGGACCACTTTGCAGAGATCAAGGCAGTTCTACAAGAAAAGCCGGCGTGGCAGCGTATCTGGGTGCATATTGATGCCGCCTATGCCGGTGCGGCGCTCGTGGCGGATGAGTGGAAGTACATTGCGAAGGACTTTGCGGAGGGTGTTGACAGCTTCAACACGAACATGCACAAGTGGCTGCTAGTCAACTTTGATGCTAGGTAAGCTTTTCCTCCAAGTGTCTGTGGGTAAATTTGCACTTTTGGTCTAACATTCCCAGCGTCCTCTTTGTCCGGAATCGCTTGGATCTGACGAACGCCTTGGATGTCACACCAGCATATCTGCGCAACCCGTACTCGGATATGGGAACCGTAATTGACTACCGGAACTGGTCTATTTCTCTCGGTCGCAGATTCCGCGCATTGAAGATTTGGTTCGTGATTCGGAGCTATGGTCTCAACGGCATGAAATCGCACATCCGCAAGACAATCGGATTTGGTGACCTTTTTGCTGGCTGGGTGCGCGGTCGGTCTGATATATTTGAGATTGTCACGAAGCCAGCCTTTGGCTTGACTGTCTTCCGCGTCAAGAATCCATCTGGCGGGGCTAGTGAATCGTCTGGTCGCGTGGCCAAAGATGAAGTTGCTGACAGTCTGACCAAGAAAGTCTCCGAGATGGTCAACGCGGAAGGTAAAATCTTCATCACCTCTACAGTCGTTGATGGCGTCTGTGTTATACGGGTGATTAGTGGAAACGCTCTGGCTGAACAGAAGTATGTCCGTAATGCCTATGATATTATCGTCCGTACAACAAAGGAGGTGCTGAAGGAGAGTTGGAAGTGATGATGTAGTAGATATAGATGATGTCCCCTATAGACGCATATCTAGACCATATAACCACTGAATTAGAACAATAAAATACTCTTCTCTGTTGAACCTACCGACTATATTTCCAGCCTTATCTTGCTCCCCCCACACTAACAGTAATGTGGAATTGATGTGGATAGATCTTGAGATCTTATTTCCCCCCACGCGGGATGCACTACATACTACAATAAAGTCATTCCCAGAAGACACTTGTCGATGTTCATTTACCCTCTAACTACACCTACATCCTATAAGAATGTCTTCTCAAAAGCCCTCGTAAGTTGGTCTGTTCTTAACTACTGATCAGTGCTCATGATCACAGATATGTCCTTGTCACTGGCGCCACAGGGTTCATCGGCGCCCATGTCGTTGACAATCTACTGGCTCGCGGATTCTCAGTCCGAGGCTCAACAAGATCAAAGCAAAAGGGGGATCAAATGAAAGCTGCACGTCCGCAGTACGCTTCAAAGCTTGATTTCGTCGTCGTAGAAGACTTCACTCAGATCGGGGTCTTCGATTCTGTAATGGATGGCATTGACGCAGTCATCCATGTAGCAAGCGTAGGCACCTCACAATAATTCTGCTTCTGATCAATACAAAGAACTAATAAGTTCCACAGCCCTTATTCTACGACACCACCAACAACGAGCAGGAATTAATTCTACCCGCTATCAACGGAGTCAAGTCGATCCTTTCGGCCTCTGCCAAGCCAGGATCAAAAGTCCAGCGCCTTGTCCTGACATCCTCCGTCTCCGCAGTGATCAACCCGAGCAGCACTCCCGCGCTAGGATTCACATACACAGCCGCGAACTGGAACCCTCTGACATACGAGGAGGCCATCGATCCGAAATCCACTGCTGTGACTGCATACCGTGGGTCGAAGAAGTTCGCCGAGCTCGCAGCGTGGGAGTTTGTCAAGGACCAAAAAACAAAGTTCGACCTGGTGACGCTCTGTCCTCCCATGGTTTTCGGTCCAGTCGTGCACCCCGTGTCGACGGTGCAGCAGCTCAACGAATCAAATACGGTGCTCTGGGGTGTGGCCGCTGGTGCAGATCCACTTCCTGAGACACGGCCCGGTTGGATTGATGTTCGCGACCTCGCTGAGGTGCATGTTCAGGCTTTGCTTACGCCCGAAGCCGGTGGGAAGCGGTTTGTGGTTGCTTCGCCGGAGACGTTTTCTTACGAATATGCTGCAGATATCATACGCGATGAATTCGAATGGGCGAAGGATGTTGTGACTACGAATTACAAGACGGGTGAAAAGCCGAGTGCCTCTTATGGGTTTGATGCGGAGACTGCAGCTCGGGAGTTGGGGGTGAAATATCGGCCCTTTAAGGAGACTGTGGTCGATTTGGTTGGACAGATGCGGGAACTCGCAACGTAAGTATCTCCTAAGTGTTAGACAAAGGCAGCGAAAAGAGCCATGTATAGATATGCCCCTGCGAACAGTGAGTCCAGGGAATTGAAATAGAGAAGACATCTAAAGAGACGTCTGAAAAGATAAAATATAAGAAGACTACTAAAAGACTACAAAGACTTGCCTAAGTGCCCGACTACATTCTTGTGTCGATAACTATACCCTTGCTGATAGGCAAATGAATCGCTCTTCCAAACAAAGAGAGACCTAGTGGGACCGGGCGTTGAGCGACTGGGTTTACCGGTCGGAGTCTACCCCATGAGCGAGAGCATTCAATTCTCAAATATAAAACGAGGATCCACTTAGAAGTCCACATGTTAAGTGGATGCGAATCCGATGGAGCATGGGCCAGGCGCAAAATTGACCGAATCACCAGTTACGGCGATATAAAAGACAATACGGAGTAGATCAGGTAGGTTTCCCAACTGCACTCAGATTCCAGGGTTTTCCCCAGATTAGTTCCTAGATGGGCTTGGTATCGAGATCTATGATGATGCATGATGTAAAATGTCTGACCTACCTAATAACTGCTGTAGGTCTTATTGGTCTTCTCGAAAATATGATAAGGCACGATGATGTCCCCCGAACAGGCTCAGAAGTTGGCTTTCCATGTGGAAAAGCCAATAGGGACATCTGGTGTGTGGAGACTTTCTCAAAAGATTCGTCGACGGTGTCACAACTTGGATTGGCACGCCGATAAAGCGTATGGCTGGGCGCAATCTGCCATCGAAACGGAAATGCAGCTATGCGCAACTACCCAGCGCGAGTTATTCTTGAAGGAAGAGATCCAAAAAGTTCAGGTTAAATCAATGGCAGACGACCAAAAGCAGCTACACAAGTTGACCGACGAACTGGTCCGTCTGGACAAAGAATATTGGCGCCTTGAAAGAAATATGTATGTCGCCGAGTCTAGAGGCAGACCGGGATTCGCCAAAGATGCATATCTATCTTCACGAGAAAAAGCCGGGTGGCATCTGCGAAGTAAATGGCTACGTCAGGATTGTGCGAAACGAGGCGGTTGCTGTGGCAGACAATGCAAATGCTGCGAACGTCCCCCAGATTCCGATCGGATGAAAGGATGGGGACATTGTACTGTTGAGTGTGCTTGCTGCCATCGCGAACGCGGATTCGAGTTGCAGGATACAGATCGGAGGTTATTCCAACCTGAATTTGATGTTTCGATACATCCCATGACCGCGTACAGTGCTGATATCTTCCACGCTTATATCTTCGCTAGAATGAAATGAGTGTTCGCTTTGTTACCGTGCTTAGCCTAGATGGCTGAACTTGCAACATGATACATCGATGTTTCCCTCGCTAAATATTAATCGTTGAAAGGAGAGTCTTGGTGATTGTTCAGGAACAAATCAAAGATTGATTAGAACACATCCATGGATATGTGCCAATTGCATTCTCAGGGTCAGTAGATACACTCTATACCATAGTTAGTAGGTCCCTTAAGCCCTAAGTGAAACATGATATATCAACAAAATCCTGATTAATCGTGCCAAGCCCACCAACACGCGGGCAGTGTTTTAATTGCTTGGCAAAATTATTATGTCTTCTGCTGCTGCTGGCTTGGGGAAAAGCACGCATGTTAAGAAGATATGCGGAATCAAACGGACCATTCCTCTTGACGATGTTTCCGATGTCCAGTTTTATATCATCATACATGACCCAAGGACAGCCTTGGAAGGCTGAGCCCCTTTTCCACTCGTAATCGTAACGCCTCGTATGGGTCTACTATTCCCACCTTGGAAGGTTATCAGCGCGCTACGTCAATCTCTGCGGGGATTATTGCATCCCACGCCCACTAGAAACCGATCATCAAGTATCTCCCAGCCTTGTTTTCTCCACACACTTTCTGTCGCCATAACAGCTTTGTCTTCCCCCTTTTGGCACCTTTAGCCCCCTCTCACGTGACTGATCATCGTGTAGTGGGGCTTCTCGCAGGGGTCTGACACTCGTAGATTCTGCCGGTACTGCCGGTCTTAAAATAGCATGTCTGCTATCAATTCGTGGTCAATATTAGAAAAGGGACGGATTCGGACGATATGATCTATCAACCTTTCTATACATACCTTTCACTGGCCAATAACCATGAGATAGGTCATTCTTCTGTATTCTGCAGTGCATCTATGGTAGGCGGTAGGTAGGCGGTATACAACCCCCCACACAATCCACTGTGCGCTGCATAAGGAGGAATCAGAACGAATTATATTGAAGCCAAGCGACGCTAACTCGCAAGTGGTTAAGACCAGTGTGCCACAAGGAAAAAGGGGTTGTGCCGCGATCATCTCGCCGATAATCAATTCCCGGACCAATCCATATATCACGCTCATTTTCAATCTCTCGTTTTCACATTCAGATGGCCATTCCGCCCTCCATTTTGGCATTTATATATCGGTTTTAATCTTTTCTTTTTCAGGGCTCTTCCATGATGACCACAGTGAATGGTTCCAACGATAAGAACCTTCATGACATCAATACCTTCGCTGAAAGCTCAAGTGACGAGCACGCCCTGAATACTTCCTTCGAATCTGAGCCCCGGTCTAGTGGCTCCTATCCTTGTCAATATGAAATGAACAGTGAGTTTGGATTATCCTCCAATTGCCGGCGTCCAAGCTGACATGGACTTCTTATCGTTATCAAGGACCAGCCGAGGCCTCCACGAATTCAATCTCCGACGACATCTTCCATAAAGTAAAAAGCTTTCTTCGACACAAAACACAGATCCCCAATGACGACACGTTGTCTGGGTGGCCCCATCATGGCAGACCCTGCAATTCCTTCTCCATATTCAAACAACAGACAAAACAGATTCTCAGGCCGAGGATCGTCTTCTCCGGTGCCTTCGCCGCATCGGCAATCATTCTCTCTAATACCAAAAGCCCGGCGCTTGTGATATTCATATGGAACCTCCTTGCGATTGTGCCGCTGTCGATCACACTCACAGAAGCCACCGAGAGGATATCCAAGGATTTGGGTGAGACCGCTGGCGCTCTCCTCAACATCACGATAGGGAATCTAGCGGAGCTTATTATTTTGTGAGTCTCAATGTGGAACTCACTTATTTTCAATATATACTGACTATCATATAGTGTGTAAGTTTCATATGATAAGTTGGCGGAGCCAAAACTAATCTTTATAGCACTGCTTTGTTGAAAAACAACATTAAAGTAGTTCAATCATCACTCCTCGGCTCCATCCTTGTGAACCTTCTGCTCGTCCTCGGGTCTGCAATCATAGCAGGCTGTATCTCGACGATTGATGTGACATATAACACTGATCTGACCCAGTCATTTGTGGGACTTCTCAATCTCACCATCTCTTGCCTTATGATTCCCGTAAGGCGATGTTCCAAGTATCCCGATTGCTTCCAATACTAATGCTGAACATAGACCGCTTTCTATGGCAGCGTCAAGAGCGTCACTTCTGCTGATCATATGTCATTATCCTTCAGCAGGGGGGTGTCCATCATTCTTCTCCTCACATATTTCTTATACCTTTTCTTCCAGTTCAAATCACACGCTCACTTGTTCCACTCCACGCGGCTCCAAATGCCGCGCCCAACCGATCCCCTATATACAGACGACCTCGAATCGCGTCCCACCACGGTCGAAAGCGCAACAAGCAGACATATCCGCCAGCTAGAGATGCAAGAGGTGCGATCACGGTCATGCTCAGTCGACGCACAAACGGCAGCAGCAATGCCCCTGTTTCACAACGAACCTTCTGAAGGAAGAACGACTCTCCACCGACACACGGCATCTGAAGGAAGGAGCCTCCCCAGACAAACGGCACCACCTATGCGAGACTATGGACCATGTCGCTGCGACCGCTACGTGATCAAGTCCAACCGAACGATATCCGTCACCCTCCTCGCCCTATCAACCGTTCTCATCGCCATATGCGCCGAATACTTCTCCTCGAGCTTCTCAACGCTCAACGAACAGGGCGTCCTCGGTGAATCATTCGTCGGTTTGATCATCATTCCTATCGCCGGAAATGTTGCCGAAAATGTTACTGCGGTTGTCGTGGCCTCGAAAAACCAAATGGACCTTGCCATCAGTGTTGCCCTGGGATCGGCCATTCAAATCGGTCTCTTGGTTTCGCCGGCTATGGTGCTTATTGGCTGGGCTCTCGACAAGCCCATGACCTTGCATTTTGACAAGTTTGAGATGGTCACTCTGATCGGGGCTGTTATTTTGGTCGATTTCATCGTGCTCAAGGGAAAGACTAATTATTTGGAGGGCGCTATCTTGTGTGCCTGCTTTGCGGCTATTTCGTATGTGCACTTTATAACTCGTGGAGATGCAATTGCTAATATTCGTATAGTGTCGGCGCATATCTTTTACCGCTCACTTGAGACTTTGTCTTAAGGGCACTCCCTCTGGACGATCTGTTTGAACCTGGGCTGGGCGATTCTTACGTCTATCCCTCAATCTTCTTGTTATTATTCATTCAATGTAAATATGAATTGTAGATAAACCCATGAAACTGAAATCAAAATTTACTATATCCCCTTCGTCTCCCGGAAATCCAAGCCCAAGCCACCCGTTGACAAAGCGCCATTTGGGAAGTGGATATCAGTATGAAACATGCCCGGATGACCCTTGAATAATCCTATCTGCTCAACTTCTCATCTTTCAAATCTAGGTCGTGTTGGTCGGTCGCACGACTCCCGCCAAGCTGATTCGAAACGAAACTGCAATATATGAGAGAATACGGTGATTCTTTCCAACTACCTCGTCTTTCTATGAGAAGGGAACTCTTTTATGCCATTGGAATTAAATATACCTGGGTGACCCTAGGCTGTCTCTTTTATTTGATGTACTCAAAATTTAGACCTGCATATACATAGAAGAGACCATGAGCAAAGATTCCGTTCTAGTCTAGTCATGTATCTCTTTAATATATGTCTGACTCAGACTTCAAATAATAGTTAACTAATACTAGCCCGACTATTCCAAATCAACGTAGCATTGACCGCTAGCCTGCAGTCGACCCAAAACTACCCCGCGACAAGTCCCAACAACCAACTCGCAAACAAAAAAGGCCAAAATGTCTACCCCAAATCCTCTAGTCCTAGAACCCGCGACAGTCGAAGACCTCCCGGCCATTACAGACCTATGGTTCACCGCGTTCAACGACCCCGGCATGCGCCGCCTATTCCCCGACACACCAGGGACACGCGAATGGTTCACTGAAGCCAACCGCACCGACATGCTCACAAAGCCGTACCACAAATACATCAAGATCGTCGACCCCAACACCACAGACACGCAAGGGAAGGCGCGGATAGTCGCATACGCGAAATGGGACCTGGCCATGCCCGACGAGCGCGGGGATCGGTTCCCGCCTTGGCACGGGGACATGCCTGGGCAGGTTTGCGATACGTTCTTTGGGGGGCTGGAGAGCGAGCGCAGGCGGGTGATGGGTGATCGGAAGCATTACTGTGAGTTAGATCACTCGAGAGCTAACTAGTTAGCCGCTTGTTTTGTTCTGCTGGGGGACTGTTTGTTGACGCTGGTACGGAGTAGACCTTGATATGCTCGGTACGCATCCCGACTACCGTCGTCGCGGGGCTGGCGCTATGCTGGTTCGATGGGGTTGTGAAATTGCGGATCGGGAAGGCGTGGCGGCGTATATCGATGCTAGTAAGGCTGGTGTTCCGCTGTATGCGAAACATGGGTTTGTGGATCGCAGTGACCCCGCTAGTCCCGGTGAGGTGGTTGCGATGGCTCGAGGATAGATTTGCTGTGTCATCGGCTGAGTATACGGAGTACTGGTGGTATGATAGACGGGTTACTCCATACTTCGTGGTGGAGATGTGGCTGTTCGAATTATACAATATAGAGAAAGGGCAATCAAAATGAAATCGAGGACTTTCGGTCATAACTCTGTATCTTCTTTCGTGCGTAGACAATGCCGATATGATTATATCCATTCAACAGTTCTATCTATAGCTCTATCCGGTACTATTTCATCCTACTAGATCCAAAGACAGAGTTCTCAATCCATAAAAAAGACATCTCGACCCCTCTCACAAAAATACTCCGTACTCCCCGGCCGAAAGCTCTATCACACACATATCACATTAAAAATAGCCCTTTAGCAACAACTAGTTATGCCAAGTTCACAGTTGCCAAGATCGTCAAGGACCAGTGTCATCACCTTCCAAGGCTGGCTAGATTATTTCCTTCCCCGCCAAGCATCTCACACCACGCGAACCCAGCAATAAGCAGCCACGAACAGCACATGGGCATATCATTTGATGCAGAACAAGACTCCGAAGATCTAAAATTAACTATTCCCCATGTTGTGCCTCCGCAGAGGCCGATGCAACATCACTAACACAAACGGGTCATCACGGACGATCCCAACTGCGTTGCGGATGAGTTCTAAAAGTGGTAAGAGATGTGCGTTGACAGGGATCAGCTGCAGGAGCTGGTCTTGGTAATGAGCACTGCAGCTTAATCCCTGTCGATTTTCAGGTCCCAATTTCGAGTGCTGGACTGCAATGTCGATGTTGCAATGCGAGTGTTTGTTTACCTAGATATCAGCGTTGCAATTGGGAGATAAATCCAACATGAGACATAATTTCCTGACGCTAGGGTGCAGATCCCCTACATAATCCGTCTCGTTTTCGAATTTAAACGGACGCTAAGTGGCCTTGCAAGGATGCCCAGATGTCACTCACCAATTACCAAGCATCGCGGCCTCGACCAACGTGCCCCTACGCTTAATCAACCGCCAAGACTTCACCCCTTCACCCCCTTCGCTATGTTGTATGCAACGGTTGACTTGACGCTTATCCGGCTGTTCCGATTCAAAGAGTCGCCAAGGTTTTCAATAGTCAGCTTACATCTTTTGCCATTTTGCCATTTCTTTCTAGTGGCGCCATGATAACCTGATGCTGATTCCTATGGCCCGCATATGGATCAACACCCGAGCATTTCCATTGGAGCTACCATTCGGAGCAATGCATGCATAGTGTCTCTCATCTTCTCCTTGGCTCGTGGAGACGGTCAACACCTCTAGCTGTGCCCCACTATATCCAACAGGTGATTCGATCTCATCACACTGTTAGTCTCGGCCGGCCGTTGCGCTGAAATAATCAACGGTTTCCTGGTTGGAGAATTGGCCAGCCCAGGTCTGATCAATAATAGTACCTGAATTCTGCGTCATAGCATTTTCATGGAGCTTCCCATTGGTCCATTGCAAAAGTCGCACTGGGCTGTTTTGTTTGGGGTTCACATTCAAACCGGAGTATAAAGCGAGCCCCGAGTCTTTCACCTTTCACTTGAAGTTTGAATTGTTGACAACTCTATTGAGACTGGCTTTCTATTAACAGTTATATATTATTTACCTGCCGCAATGCGTGTGCTTGCCCTATTTACGGGTCTTGTTGGCATTGCCAATGCTGCCTGTCCCTATATGACTGGCGAAGCTGGCGACAATCCTCACATCTCGAGACGAGGTGATGGAGATGCTTCTTCCACCGAGGAATTCCTCTCCCAATTCTACCTCAAGGACCAAGATGTCTTTCTGACCTCCGACGTTGGCGGCCCGATCGAGGACCAAAACAGTCTCAGCGCAGGTGAGCGTGGAGCCACCCTGCTCGAGGATTTCATTTTCCGCCAGAAGATCCAACGCTTCGACCATGAACGGGTATGTGTTCCGCATTTTAATTGAAGTTCCAGCGCTCATATCTGTTTTTCAAGGTACCGGAACGCGCCGTTCATGCTCGAGGCGCCGGCGCCCACGGAACATTCACCTCCTACGGCGACTGGTCCAACCTGACTGCCGCGTCTTTCCTTTCTGCCAAAGGCAAACAAACCCCGATGTTCACGCGCTTCTCCACTGTTGCTGGCAGTCGCGGAAGCGCCGATACTGCGCGAGATGTCCACGGCTTTGCGACTCGCTTCTATACTGATGAAGGGAACTTTGGTACGGCAGACCTTCTTTTGACGAAAGGACATCACTGATTTGGATCTAGATATTGTTGGAAATAACATCCCCGTTTTCTTCATCCAGGATGCTATCTTGTTCCCCGATCTCATTCACGCCGTCAAGCCCCGTGGCGATAGCGAGATCCCTCAGGCTGCTACCGCGCACGACTCGGCTTGGGACTTCTTCAGTCAGCAGCCTAGTGCACTTCACACCCTTCTTTGGGCAATGGCTGGCCACGGTATTCCTCGGTCTTTCCGTCATGTCGATGGATTCGGTGTGCACACCTTCCGTCTAGTGACTGACGATGGAAAGACCAAGCTTGTCAAGTTCCACTGGAAAGGACTACAGGGCAAGGCTAGTTTTGTGTGGGAGGAAGCACAGCAGACCGCTGGTAAAAATGCGGACTTTATGCGTCAGGATCTTTTCGAAGCTATCGAAGCTGGACGTTTCCCCGAGTGGGAGGTAGGTGATAACCCCATATCCATCGCAATTCTTGCTAATTGTTCGTTAGCTTGGTGTTCAAATCATGGAGGAAGACGACCAGCTTCGGTTTGGGTTTGATCTTTTGGATCCTACCAAGATTGTCCCAGAGGAACTCGTTCCTGTCACGAAGCTGGGCAAGATGCAACTGAACCGAAACCCCCTGAACTACTTTGCTGAAACCGAGCAAGTCATGGTACGTCCCAACCCATCATTACCACTTACAATACTAATGTCTTAGTTCCAACCGGGCCATATCGTCCGCGGCGTCGATTTCACCGAAGACCCCCTCCTCCAAGGCCGTATCTTCTCCTACCTAGACACCCAACTCAACCGCCACGGCGGTCCCAACTTCGAGCAGCTTCCCATCAACCGGCCCCGTGTACCAATCCACAACAACAACCGCGACGGAGCAGGTACGTACCCACCACCAACCCATCCCATCCTCCAATCCCTCTTTCTAACAAGCCCTAGGCCAAATGTTCATCCCCCTAAACCCAAACGCCTACTCCCCCAACACCGAAAACAACGGCTCCCCAAAACAAGCCAACCAAACCGTAGGCAACGGCTTCTTCACCGCACCCGACCGCACATCAAGCGGCAAGCTCCAACGCACCGTCAGCTCGACCTTCGAAGACGTCTGGTCGCAGCCGCGCCTTTTCTGGAACTCCCTCGTACCCGCCGAGAAGCAATTCATCGTAGACGCGATCCGATTCGAGACATCCAACGTCAAGAGCAGCGTCGTGCGCAACAACGTCATCATCCAGCTGAACCGCATCAGCAACGATCTCGCGACGCGCGTCGCAAAGGCCATTGGCATCGATGCGCCGAAGCCAGATCCAACCTTCTACCACGACAACACGACCGCGCACATCGGCGCCTTCGGACAGAAACTCGCCAAGCTGGATGGGCTGAAGGTTGGACTCCTTGCGT